GGAGAGCATGTAGGGCTTCTGCAGGACGCACTGAACCAGGCGGATGCTCAGCGGAGCGAAGCCGCTGTAGACGTAGGCGATGTCGTTGGGGTCCTTCTCGCTGACTTCCTCGACGACGAGGCGCAGGGTCTTGCGGAGGGTGTTGTAGTTGGTGCGCGGGCTTGTGTTGTGCTGATGGTGGTGATGGGGCGAACCTCCTGTCGCGGCGGCAGTGGTGGTGGTGGAAAGGAGGAGGGAGGTGGGGTTGGTGGAGGCGCGGGGCTGGAGGAGTTGCATCTTCTCGAGGGCGCAGAAGGTCAGGATGTGCTGGTGGCCGTAGGCTTGGACGATCTGGCGCTTGAAGTTCTCGAGGTCCCGCGGCCGGAGCCCGCCGGACATGCAGGATTCGAGGCACAGGAGGCGCAGGATGGCGGGCAGGGCGACGTCGCGGGCGATGAGCTCCTCCACCGCGTCGTGGTGGTAGGTCGGGTCGGAGCCCGCGGCGTAGTTCTGCTGCACTTCCAGGAGCTTGCGGAAGATGTCGGCGCGGGTGGTGCGCATGATCTCCTCGGCGAGGTTGGTGTGCACGCGCAGGCTCTGGTGCTCGAGTTGGTAGGAGGGGAGTTTGTTGACAAACTCCCGCAGCTCCGTCGTGGTCTTGGCCGAGTGGCGGCTTTCATAGTCGCTCTCGAGGCGGCGCGCGACTTTGTTGAGGATGTCGCCGACGATGGCGAAGTTGGCGTCCCGCAGTTGGCTGAAGAGCTGGTCCGATGAGTCGAGTTGGATCTTGCGCTTCTGGTGCTGCTTGGAGGACGAGGGCTGTTGCGGGCCTTTGGAGGATTCCTGCGTTTGCGGAACGGTGGCCGCGCCGCCGATGATGGAGGTGTCGATGTCGGCTTGGTTGTTCTTGATGCCGACTGTCTCGTCGATGAGACCTTCGTAGGTCAGTTGAGTGAGGAGCGGGGTGCCGAAGTCAACTTCGCGATCGATGATTATGAGGCTCTCTGTGCTTGCACTGGGCAAGAGACCGCGGGCTGACACTCCGGCGAGCCCGGAGCTCTCTTCAGCGTCGAGCTCCTTTCTCATTCGGAGAAGCAGGTCGGCCAGTCGTCTTGCATGATCACCCTTGCCGATGATCCGAGGAAAGTAGCCGTGTCTCTGCTGAATGTCCATAAGGGCCTTCGCGGAGTGGAAGATGCATCCTGGGTCTTTGTGCTGCATGGATGTTGGTTACTTGGGCTTTGTGGAATAAATGTGCTGCACCAGGCAAGCTTACCAGGTAGAGATCACTGAAGGCGTCCTCCATCTCCAGAGACAGGATATCCTGTTCCAGCGGCATGAAGTACAGCGGAAATTCGGCGATGTTCACGTCTCCGATTATGCCTGCTTCCTCGAGGATTGTGTTGCTTACAAGTGTCCGTCTTGGAACCCAGAAAATAGAGATCTCATGTTCAATGCTGCCATTGCGCTGGAGGCGCTTGACCTGTTCTAGAGGCATGTTAGCTCATACTGATGACCTTCAATCAGACAAGTAAGAAAGAGAAAGCCTATGATTGAGCTGATATCTTCAAATGTGTTTGATATCGGGAGCGCGTGACTGGCTACGTAGAGTAGAGGGGAGTCTGCGCGCTTCACAGTCTGTCCCAAGCAAAATTCTCCTGGATAGAAGGAGTGATACCCAGCTTGTCTTACGAAACAGGCGTGCTGAGGGTGGTAAATAGGAATATATCGACATACCTGCCACAGCCCGCACTTGAGGAAGCTTCTCAGCGTTCGCTAAGAAGACGACATTGCGTTGAGAGGAGTCCACATTGCCATTTTCCAGTAGGAACACGCGATCTACACCGTAATCTTGAAGCAAAGAGAACTTGACGAACAGCCCGACTGGACCAGCCAGATCTTGACTGACGATGAGGTTCTTCTTACCGCGGACCTGCACCGAAGGATTCAGCTGATGTACATGGGCGACCAGAGGTAGAAGCAAGCCTTACTCACGCCTTCGAGGAGGGTCAACAGATCCCTACGCGCCTTGTCCTTGAAGTAGTCTGCATCAGACCCCGGGTACGGCGCCATGACTGCCAATGAGCATTACTGAGAAGGAGGAAGTTCGTTAAGATCGTTAAGTTGGTCAAGTTGATTAGTTGGTTAAGTTGGTTGAGTCGGAGATCCGCGCGCGGACGTTTCCGGCGGGCGATGGGTTGGTTTGGTTGGTTTGGCTGGATTTGGAGGGAGGCTTGGAAGGGTCCAGCCACTGCACTAACCGTTCTAGGCTTAATGAAAGCACAGCCTGTCACAGCACTCTGGTACTGAGACCGTCATAACAGCCTTTATCCTTCGCAACAGCAGCCATCTCTGGTGTAATGAGATTACCCTCCGCCTTTTCCCCCTCCACCCCCCATTCCAATCATTCCAATTATAGTGCCTGAGGCGCTGCTGCTCCCCTGAACGTTGCCTGCCTGTCTTTCGCCCCTCTTACATCCTTCTATCTCCTTTTCTTCTTTTCCCTGATTTTGCCTCTTACTCTACCATTATCCGTCCTTTTCGAGAAACTGCTTTCTACCACTTGCTGGCCGTTCCGACAAATTGATATTCTTACCCTAAAACCCACTCGACCACAGATCAAGCGCCATGGGCAGGTTCGGCTTCAAAAAGTCCGGGGACGAGGACGATTCCCCCAACCGCCTGGCGCTGTTCGGCTCCCGGTCGAAGAGCAAGAGCCCAGCACCTCCCGCCAACCCCTACGCCAAACCCATCCCCACTGATCCCTACACGAAAGCCAAGATCCAAGCTGGCGTCGCCCCTCTTCCAGCTGGGGAGCAATCCGCCGCCCCGGCTCCTTCTGGTCCCGCCAACATCCCCGGAGACAACAAGCAAGGCTATGCGCCGAACCGATATGGAAACCAGGGTGGATATGGATCGGATCGCTTCGGGGGCAGCACCAACAGTGGAGCATCGCCAGCAGCCTCGCGGTACGGCCCCGGCGGCTACGGAGGGCTAGGCAGCACCGATCCCAACGACGCCGCAGCCGCGGATGCCAATAGAGATGCCCTTTTTGGAGGCGCAAGGGAACGAGCAGAGCAGCAGCAGCCGCAAGCCGGCGCTCCCCCGCCGCCTTACTCGGAGGGCGCTGCGGCCTACGGCGGCGGCAGTAACGACTACAATACATCGACTTACCAGGAACGGCATCTGACCGCGGAGGAAGAGGAAGAGGAGGAGATCCAGACCATCAAGCAGGACATCCGGTTCATCAAGCAGGGGGATGTGGCGTCGACCCGCAACGCCCTCCGCATTGCCGCGCAGGCGGAGGAGACCGGTCGGGAGACGCTGGCTCGGTTGGGCGCGCAGGGCGAACGCATCCACGATGCGGAGCGGAGCTTGGACGTCGCCACCATCGAGGGCCGTATCGCCGAGGAGAAAGCCAAGGAGCTCAAGACCCTCAACAAGAGCATGTTTGCGGTCCACGTCGCCAACCCCTTCACCAGTGCCCGGCGGCGGCGCGAGCGCGACGAGCGGATCCTGGACACCCACCGACAGGAGCGGGACACCCGCGACGGCACGCGGAACGAGGCCTTCAAGACCAACCAGCGGATGGAGCGCACGTTCCGGGAGATCGACCGCGAAGCGAGCAAGCAGACCACGCGGGGCCGGACCAATGTCGCCGACCGTGCCAAGTATCAGTTCGAGGCGGATAGTGAGGACGAGGCGATGGAGAACGAGATCGAACAGAATTTGGACCTGCTTGGCGGTGCCGCGAGCCGACTGAACGGTCTTGCCAAAGCCACGGGCCGGGAGCTGGACGAGCAGAACCGCCACCTGGAGCGTATCACGGGCAAGGTGAGAGAGAACCTCTGGTTTATGGACTTTCTGGACTTGCTGCTAACAACTTCTCTAGAGCGATTTCGTCGACGAGCAGATCGCCATGAACCGCGCCAAGCTGGACCGAATCCGTTAGACATACCCCATAATAAACGTTTCGTTGACTGCCTGGCGCTGTCGAATCTTTTATCCTTTTCAAATGCACATATCCCATCTGCTCGGCGTTCCTGGGTATACTACATTCGTACTTGATGAAACACGACAGTTGATACTATTAGAATACTGCAGAATATTGCTTGGCGGGAGGAAGTAATTTTTTTTTTTTTTCAATATAATAGACTTCTGTGCTTTGCTAGCAGCCTGGTGCCTATCCTTCCATCTTTTGCAGAGTAAGAACGACTATTCTTAACTCTGTATCTCAGCCCATACACAAGGTACACACATACTGTATACACGGACTAAAACGACCCTCTATCATGCAACCCCATTCCAAATCTCAAACTGGAAAAATGCCAGAACGCCCCGAATCGGGCACTCTCCGATCCTTGTACCCAATCTCCCTCATTAATAAATCTTATACACAAGCCTCCCTCGACGCGTCAACCAGGCAATCTCAATCTGAAACACCACCACCTGCGAGATTTAATCTCAAGCCGAGAACGTCTACGCCCGCCCCAATATATGTTATATCGAAGACAGTCCCACTCTCAATTCCCACATGTTTCATACCCTTTTCCAGCCCCAACCACCAAGGACAGGAGTAAGATCGGAGGATCATTTCCACACCCCCAACGGTTTTTGTCTTACTTAGTACTTTAGTACTCTCCACTCTTGATAATTCTGATGATCTAACCGTGTCTCGATTTCAGATTTGTAGACAGACACTTTACCTCCCCTTCCGCTCTAGTAAGTAGTGATATTAGCGATGGAGCCGAGACTATGTCAGCGTCTTCAGTTAGACGATTACTGCAGGATGGCTTGTCTTAGAACAGTAAACGGCTCGCGTCTGGACCGTGTTTACTGCGTAGACCGTGTCTCAAATGTCATGTATGCCATATATGTCAGAGACTGTCAAAGGATGAGCTTTCTTTCTGAATCTATGCGTTGGGGGCTGCCCAACCGGGAAAGAGGGGAGTAGCTTCTCTTGTTTCGGGGTGGGTCAGACAGACACACCGTTTTCTGCTTTGGATGAAGCAGATTCGTCTCGAGGGTGTCAGATCAAAGATCGTTAGTGCTCTCCGGTTGGTTTCAGGGTTGCGGGAATGGTAAGTGTCTAGATGTACTCGTAGCTCGGTTGAGGTGATATGGAGTTTGGCCTGGTGGAAGATGCGTAGATAGGGTTAGTCCACTCCTTCCTTGGCGGATCTTGCTACTATAGCATACCTGTGATAACGACCTTGTTCGTGGTCTCCTCCATATGACACTAGTGTCTTTTTATGGGTAGATGATCTGTCAGAGTGTGATACATGTGGAAAGTGAACAGCGGTGCAGGGGAAGCACCCCGTGCCTTTGGGGCCAGATGGTAAAGACATTGAATGGCGTTTGGATGAACTCTCAAGGTGCTCTTCGCAGAGTTGGCTTGAAGTAGCGTGTCTTTGTAGTTGCAGTGCTTGTGAGGAGATTTGTCCTGCTTCTGGAATAAGGTATCCGATATGTGCTGGTGTGGTTTGTCTGCTACCTCACTCCAACCAGTCGAGCAAGATGAGCAATATCAAGAACGAGCGGCTTCGTGGACAAGGACGATATATCAATCTTCCTTCTCATGAGGTAAAAGACTAAGATGATGGCGAGTGTGACATCCTGATAACTCGGCAACCTTCCAAGCGCTTAGCAGCATATTGTCTCGACGAGAGGGAGCATGGACCAACACGACACCAGCTTTGAGATACTCAAGAACCTTAAAAGAAATAGACCAGCAAATAAGAACATTCTGCCTGGCCAACACTGTACACCAGGAGTGCATGTCTGCGGTGCGGCGCTTAATTGAAACCTTGCGGGTTCTATCTCCGTCTCATTCGACCTTGGCTTCGCTTCTATACCGTATTTGCTGCATTTGACTCGCAAGGCTTCTGCCATGGTCTTCTTTTGCGCCACAGTTGAGAGAGTACTGGAGCTATTGACAACGAGCTGTGCCCTGCTGAAGGATCAGCATCAGTGATGTGGCATCGTTGGTAGTTGTAGATGTTGGATAGTTTCTCCATCATCATGCCTTCTGCTTCGCCTCTACATGTCTATATTTGACGAGGCATACTTAGGATGCCACATCACTGATGCTGCTCTGCTGCAGGGACAAGAGAGGGTGAGAGGTCAGCTGCTGTGGGAGGTGTTTTGGCACCTTCACTGTAGAGGGATAACAAAATAAGAGTAACACTTTCCTCCCTATTCTTTGGTATGATCTCAACTCATCTCATCTCTCAGGTCCAACATCTCTACCAACCCTCTACACCTCCCTCTACATCCACTCACAATCCAAAGACATCACCATCGTCCAGAAGACAGAACCACCAAGATGCGCCTCCACCACATCCTCCTCAACACCCTCCTCATCCTCCTCTCCACCCCCTCTATTACCACCGCATTCCCCCTCCCCTCCCCTCCCACCACAGCAACAGAAACAGAAACAGAGATCGAACATCACCCACCAAACGCCGTCCACCTGGCGACCAGCTTCATCTCCCTCTCCCACGCCCTCTCCTTGCAGCGCCTAACCAAATGCCCCCTCGACGTCGTCTCCATCAACCAAACCACCAGCAGACGCTCGACAGTCATCCCAAAGCGAGGACACGAGGAATCAGCAACATCTCACCTCAGCCCCCCCTCCGCCCACCTTTCCCTCAAGTTCATCGCCCTCGGCCGCGGCACGCAGAACTACACCTGCTCGTCCACGAATTCCTCCGCAGTGCCCACCGCCACCGGCGCCGTCGCGACGCTCTACGACGTCTCCTGCATCGCCGCAACCCCGAAGAATCACGGGCACCGATTCCTCCACGCCCTCCCGGGATTCGCCCAGCCCATCCCGCAGGAAGTCCTGGCCTTCTATGCCGTGTTGCTGTCCCAGTCCGCCATCATCGGGGAGCATTACTTCTCTGCCCCCCAATCTTCTTCCACCTCGATGACAGCAGCAGCAGCAGCAGCAATGCCCGTCTTCGACCTCCGCCCCACGACCTTCGGAAAACAGGGCGGAAGATATGAGTCCAACTGGGTCAAGGCCAAGAAGGTGGAGAGTGTGAATGCCCCTGGGGGCGGGGATGGAGATGTGCCTTGGTTGAAGATGGTTGGGGTGGAGGGATCTGGTATAAAGGTCCGTTCTTCTTCTTTGCTTGCTCATACTACCACGGATGAATGGGTGTATATGTGACAGGGGCCAAGAATCATATGCTGACTGAGCGCAAATTTCCCCCTCTGTAGGAGATATACCGTGTCCACACAGCTGGAGGGATGAGTCCGGCGACGTGCGCGGCGCAAGAGGGGGAGTTCGGGGTGGAGTATGCGGCGGAGTATTGGTTTTATGGGTGAGGGTTTTTCTGATTCTGTGGTTTGATTTGCTTGGAGTGACAGCCTCCCTCCCTAGCGTTTCGGTATTTCTTATTCTGTGCTTTGATGTTAACCGATCTCATCGGAGGGATGGACGAGAGGGATGCAGGTTGATATGCAGAAGACATGGTGGATGTGTGATGGGAAACGAAGGATATGATACGATGAGTTCATGAGTGGTCACTGTTTGCGGAGAATGGAGATGGGGAATTACTGTTCTAACATCACGCTCCAGTCTGTATCTGCTAGTTTGCAGTAATGCCATCAAGATAATGGGACCAGTTCAAAGCGATAGGCCTTCTGCAACATTCTCCTAGCAGAGAGTCAATGCCATGCATTAGATAGGTGCATGCAATACTTGCACCCCAGTCACAAGGCGATGCATTTGAGCAGTAGATTCGGATACTTAGGTAATTGCCATTAACACCCTCTGCCTGTCCGTGCTGCAGATATCAGGCCATGTGCAGAAAGATCGTGAGCCGGGTTGCATACCATACCCCGACAGGCAAAATAGGCAGCATAGACTGTGAGAGTCCTAAAGTAAGGTATATTGGAAGGGATCCTCCAACAAGAACCATATCAATACTCTCTCGGCCTAAAAATAACCCTCTGATATAAATGAGGTTGCAGGCAGCCCTAGGTGATATTTCTGTAATATAGATATCCAATCCATAATACTGTCTACCCAATTCTCCCTCAGTGCAAATGAGCATATAAGCTCCAAAGCAACCGCCTATCCTTGTAAGAAGCTTCAGCGCAGGGTCCAGAGTTCAGCATAAGCAAGGTGGGATCCAGTAAGTTAGAACTTACCTGTAGCCAAAGAGCCCTTAAGACTACACTCCAGCTGGCTCTGGCTCTGGCTCTGGCTCTGGCGGTGAATAGCCATATCATGTACAAAAGGCCATCAACTTACAAAGACAATCCAGGTATTGTGTTTCAGTTACCTATCTGGAAAAAGTGTAGTTGTCTCCTAAACCATTCTTTCGTCCTTCTGCAGAATTTTATTCCTTTGCATGAAGGGCCATACTCATAAACGAGTACAATCAATATATACCTCGCGTAGCGAATGAATATTGGCCCAGATATTGATTTAGAGGTGCTTCAGTTGAGAAACCTCCATCTAGATATTATATCTTCAGTATGTAAGCGATTATCCAAGTTCTAGTATATCTTATCGATAAGCCTCGAACTTGACTATAGAGAACCCTATTGTCCGACATAGTCCATGGGCTACTAGCTACAATACCACCTCCGCTGGCAGCCAGAGGTTCCCCTTTCCCCTTCTCCAATCAACCAAACTATCATGAATCAATTATATGACCCAAATCTAACTCCATATTTTCGCTACCAGGGTACCTCCCCTACCTCAACCCCTTCCCCATCGAACCTCCAAAATAGCAACAATGCTGTTGAAGATGACGATGATAACAGTCCAGGCGGATGAGGTAATAATTGTACGAATAACTGTCTTTACCAAAAAAACGCACTGCAGTGACTTCATCCCCCCCAGTTGGTGTCAAGCAAAGCCGCGTAAGCCGGACTCCATCCGCCCCCATTGTTCAATGTGGGTGGTCTTGGCGTGCGTCGCAACGGTCGGTTCTGATTCGATGTCAGATCAAGTGGGGAATGGAGGGACCCCCAGGTTCCCGAGTTCAAGAAAAAAAAAAGGTCCCGTTTTACATCCAATCCCCCCCTTTCGGATATAATGTATACTTAGAAACTTGGTATGCGTGTTGTTTTACTACTCAGTACTACCGTCGCGGTGGTGGAATACCAGGTTGCTACTGTCCTTGCTTGGATGACTTATTTAGCTGAAGGGGGAGGGGGAGGGGCGGTGTTGGGGTTCCGTGGGTTTACATTTGGTTATTGTATATACTTGCATCTACTCATACCTTTTTACATGCGTGGTAGTGGTGGTGGATGTAGTGGCAGTAAGGATTAATCGGGGGGTTATTGGTAGTTGTTGATGATGATGATGATGATGACATTCAGTTGCATTTGCATCATACAAAGAACAAACGCACATTGCAGACTGAGTATGTGCCATACTGATTGATAACTAGACGCCCCTTACCACATTATCCAAAACAGAAACCCTTGAAGATCACCTTCAGGCTCCAACGTCTTTACACAATACCAAGCATTAGGCTCGGAGTAATCATCTGCAACGACTATAGCACACAGATGAAACACCACGAATGTCGTGCTCGCGATCCCGAGGGACTTCGCAAGCAGCATTACGACGCTCAATCTCTCAACCGCCGCGGGCGATGATGAGCTTAGTATCACTGCTAGATCCGAGGGACATGTGAAGGAAGGAAGGAAGTCTCGGGAAGAAAAGTCCAGGTGGTAAAACTTGGTAGGTATACCGAACTTCCACTGCGTTGTTGTTGTTGTCGCTGTCCTAATTATAATTGGATATATGGTTGATCCCTGTCACCAGAACTGTAGGCGAAAGAGGGGTGGTGGATCGGAGACTCGGAAATGCAGGGAAGCCCATCTACCATCTACCTCCCTTATCTGGACTAAATCGTTCAGATCGTTCATTTAGTTCCCGTGTCTTGTCTGTATTCATGCACTGTATATCCAACACGCGGGACGGGGGAAGAGAACTTATGACGTTGCGGTGGTAGTAGCTTCCTGTTTCCCAGCGAAATCCAAATGCAGGGTCTACCAGAACAAGAGAATGAGGAATATATTTAGATTGTGCTCCGTAGAAAGAGGAGTATACCCGTTCTTTCGCCCTCAGATAAATTGCTTTGACGCATTGATCCAGCGCTAGTGATTTCCGAGGAAGTAACTTAAGTGACGTGAGTAAGTGTGAGTGAGATGACTAAGTAGCTGTAGGTTAACGTAATCGGTAAGCGAGCGACGCGCGCAAGCGAGTGACGCACCTCCGCCCGAAATAAACCATGGTTAAAAGTTTGAAGCTCTATAAAGCCACCAAAACATGTATTTTTATATTCAAACTAAATACAAACACGATTTGGACACTGTAATCGTCTATGTCCAATAATATGACAGTCACTGCAGCGTGGGGGCGCCCGTACGCGGCGTTGCAATGTCTCTGGTTTGTTTAATGTAGGTCCAGTCTGTATAGTCTCTTCCACCTGATTCCTGCTTTGTACAAGTACATGGCCTTCTTCAATTG